TAAAAATAAGGCCGTTGGTGTATTCCATCCGTTCAAGTAACCCATCTTTTTTAATTAACGTCGTATCATCTTTCCTGTTTCGAAGCTCCGGTCATTTGAAAATAACTATACTGAAGACGCGGCTTCGCGATGGTGAAAAGTTCATAAGGTCACAAATCCATCAAGAGTTTACTCGGAAAGTTTAACGTACTTGTAATAAAGTTCAGTTTCAAAATCTATATTATTATACGAAATATAAACATGTTAATAGGTTTGATGCTGGCCTGTCGGTATGTGTTTGCAGGAATTTGTGAATTTGATTGTATTTTTTTATGCATTAAAATAATGTCTTTTGATTTTAAAGAGATAAAGAATTCTAAAGAAAATATTATTGATTAGATTTTTTCATTTATCAAACATATCTCACAGTCTACAAAGTATACAATTGTAGCAACAAATCTTTAATAAATCAATTTTAATAATAGCTTCTTTAAATTATTATTATATTGCAAATACATATATTACAGAAAAGAAAAATTTTGAAGATAACACAATTTGGCGTACAACAGACTTATCTTTTTTTGTTCATCAAAGATGTATTGTCCTAGCAAACGGGCACTGTTACTTCGGATTGACCTCCCTAAATTATAAGTTTCTTTTATAGTTAATTGGTAGGGAGAAAGCATTGTGTAAAATATTTATGACAAAGGACGTGGAAGCGTGTGCTCAGCTGATGAGGATTGAAGATCAGGTCGGGACGAGAATGAATTATGTACTACCGAATTAATAAATTTTTTATGAGCATGAGAGTAAGGGACTGGCCGAGATTTATAGATATGACACGACACTTCTCCGTAGTCAGCAGAATGATTGGGTCACGAGCGCAAGCGTTTCGCCGTCTTGTTTCGCAGTTCTGACACGTCGCAATAGAAAATATGTAACAGTTTCCGCTAACCCAAGTATATACTTACATATTTCTTGATATGTACTAGTACGCTCATATATATTATTGCCTTTCAACATTCCACGTACCGTGTTTGTTGATAAGGTAACGCAGCTGCTCGAATCGATAAAGAACAATGGTACGTGGTGTCGCCCGGTAGCTAACGTAAGTTCGGTCTTACTTTCCTTCGACAGCCAGTATGCGTAGGTTTTGAGTAAAAGAATAAGAAATACCGGCGCGGGCTATTGTTCTCAGAAACACGACTAGTTCTTCGCGACATTCGCAATGCGAGATAGCTCGCGATCTTAATAAAAGTCTGCCAGTAAAAGCCGCTTGGAATTACAGTCGCGCAACGTCTAATACATGAAATGCCTCAATTCGCTTCAGATTTGGTCGTGTTGTGCTGAATAAAATGCCAGCGGCCGTATAAAAGAAATATTAACATCTGAATTCGCAATTCGGTTAACAGCATCGAGTTATATTTTTTTTTTTTAGTTTATATTGTAGATAAAATTGCAATTTGAAGAATGAAACACTTTGCGCAACGATTGCAGTTAGCATTACCTATAGTTGATATTATTTTCTTTTTATAACCAGAACGATAAAAACAGTAGAGAAAAAAATTTTTATATTCCATCAACGTCGCTCTGTGTTAGCTGGTTTAATTTTTTGTTCCGTGGAAATTCATGGAGAAAACGAGTTCTGCCGCGATATAGAGACATCGCGTTTGATTATTTGATCTCTCTCCTCCGGTCGGCCAATTATATTTACGGAGAACGAAATGTGTGGCGAAAAGTGTACAAATGGTAGGCGGCGAGTCTCCCTCGACCACGTATCCATCAGATTTCACGTATCAACTGGCACCCAGGACGGACAGTCGCGTTTGATCTCGTCCGGAGATACTGTCCCACCGTTCTTGAGTGTCCATTCGTAGACCTTTATCTGACAGGACGTATCGATTTTCCACCACGCGATACGTCAAAATACCGATAATCCGCATGAACGGTTCCTCGAGCATGATGCTATTATTATCGAGAAATATGCTGTAGCGCTTGTTGGAAAAATGAAAACAAACGTTTAGTGGCGCGAGGTAATGTGGAATGAAATGTGATAATGCAATAGAAAATATAATATTTACGAGAGAGAGAGAGAGAGAGAGAGAGAGAGAGAAAGATGGAAATTTTAATTTATAATTAAATAAATTATTTGAATTTTTAGTTATTTTGACTTTTAATTATCAAATATAGAACATAATAAAATATTCATAATATAAAATATCTGTGTGATGGCAATATTCAGATATAAATTTATCGGGACATTCAGATATTAATATATCTGCATGGATTTGTATAAATATATGAAAAATTAAACGAACATTTATAATAAATTAGAAATTGAATATTTAGTTCGGTGATCGTCTTTCTTTACAATTGAACAGAACTATTGCTCACAAATTTTTAACAATTTATCTTTTTTTCCCGTTCGCAATTTTAATGTTCAAATAAGTTTTCCATTAAACTAATTTTTCCGTTTTATCAATTTCTTTCTTACGAGAATAATTCACAATAAAACGACAAAGTCATTATCGCGGCGCTTTTATCGAGCACCTGCAATTCCACGCTAAAGATTGGCCCATTATCCGAAATATCGATTACCCAGACACAATCCACTGTCCCCCATTTAATCCGAATAATCGACTTTCCACGGTGTATTCCCCTGGTTCGATCAAGCTACGCCAAATCGCGGTTATAATCACACCGAATCTCTCATTAGCTCTCTCTTTCTCTCAAAAAGGGAATTACTGGCGTCAAAAAATTCAGGAAGATCTAAAAATTTCGGAGGAAGATCGATCTCGATTCTAACTTGGCCCCAAGTTACAAGATTCAACGCGTTGTGGGAGGTCGCTGCGGATAATGACCGTTTTCTTTTACATCGCCGAAGGCTCTTTCGCGCTTCTTACGTCCCCCCTGCGTCTTTCTTGCGCGCGGGGGTGATCGATCAAGATCATGGAAACGCGCTGACTCTTGCGCCGACATCCGGAAGGAATGACGGGGGTTGAATATTTATCAGTGCCCTTGCCCATCCGCGGGCACATTGTGGCCGCGGTATCGCCCATCTGGCATAAAACATCCCATTATCCGACATGAAAGCCACCCCGGACCTCCGTTTTACCGCGCCGTAACGCCGAGCCGCTGCTCTTACGCGCACCTATTTTCCCTCTTTCAGTCGCGCGATACCGCGACGTGATACGATCGCGTAAGAAATAACGTGTGGCGTTATGTCCCATAACGTGTACCGCTCTCTTCTGTGCGTCTAATTTTTTACGACATTTTGCGCCGAGCTTTGAAAGAGAGCTCAAAAGAATGGTCAACATTTCCATTCTCGTGCCGGTTACATGATAAAATTCTTCTACGCGCACAAAGTCGCACAAAGAGTTGCGTTATACGTGCGTTTTCCGCGAAGGTTCCCGCAGACGATGGTCGGCAAGAAGGGAGAAGCTTTAAAGGGCTTTGACGGGGCCGTCGTTGTTGAACCGCGGACAGTTACCGGACGGAAGTTGTGTTTGGAAAATTATTATTGGACAGCACCGTTTACCGGATGTAAGTGGCGTCCTGGAAAATAAGAATTCTTTTTGCGCGAAAGCCTTTTCTTTTCGCGTCAGTATACTCACACTTTTTAACCAAATTCTCCGAACCAGTTGTCGTGCGCGGATTCCGATAACATTTATTGCTTTCGCTCCTTTCGGATTTATGTGGCATTTATCTTTCTCTTGCGGTTGGGTCAGTGTTGCGGGCTAAAAGACCCCGGCGACCCCTTCGGATGCCATTTCAATTTTGGCCGCATCCTCGTGATTGCCTGACTTGGCGGTTTTCGTGGAAGAAAGATTCACGTTATTTTCCGCCAAATATCGCGAGAAATGGATTAAGGAAATTGCCTGCTTGTGGCGAGCGGCTGGATATTGGCTACGCCTCGTTTATCTACCTTGTTCCGTACTTTATTACACATGCGTGGATGACATTTTAGTCATTATTTATGTCCATAAAATTCATATTTTTGATATATCAACATAATTCACCGATAAGCAGAATTTGAATTTATGTTTGGTTTTGCAGGACATAAATTAATTTATCTAAAATTATTTGGCTTATTTCTTTGTGAATGTTATATAATTACTATTAATACTAGTTTTATATACATATTTATGTTAAGTACATTACATAATATATGTAGCACGTGTTTTAATACTCCTATTATATTGTATTCTTTTTTATTTGATTGTGTTTTCAAGTAAATATGTCGGCAATTATGACTATAAATAAATTTTTACAAATATATACCAAGCTATAAACTCTTAGTCGAACAATTAAAATCTCATTCTGGGATTAAAGGATAACTGGACAATTTTTAGTTACGTGACAGCTGCAGACCGGCTGCTCGCCGGTCAATTCTGAACGTTAAACGTCATTTCAGTATTATAAAAGAGTATTACAGTCAACAACTGAAAGGGTCAACTTACTAAATCGCTTTTGATAGCTTCTTTCTTTCACTCACGGGAAACGTAACGGAAGAAATGAGAACGGAGGAAGGGGAAAGCTTGTTGAGTGAATGAGGCCGGGAAAACCGAGAAGGGGAGAGAGGAGCCGTCGCGAGTGAGACATTAATGAGGAGAGTGCGCGCGCGTGTGTGTCCGTGTGTGTTGAATATGCATTCACTCGCGTACTCGCGAGCACCGACCACCATGCGAATATCTCGAGCCAGACTTGTCGCTGAGCTGCACGCCAAGTGATCGAGCTACGTGTGTGATCCGACTCATTCCAGACATTCAGCAGACCGCGCGCGGCTCTCCATGCGAAATTTACGCCCGCACGAACGTGCTCGCAATAACCTTCCAATAGTCATTCGAGTGGCAAACGGAATCGTCAATTATGATTTGTGGTGCTGCAGCTATTTTCATTTCTCTCTCTCTCTCTTCCTCTTTTTTTTTTTTAATTTAAACGAAGAAATGTATGTTTTATTGATTTCTTTATTGTGCCTTGATTTCAATACATTCTAATCTTGTAATTTCTCTCTTTTTCAGATGTGACATTGGCTGATGGCAGAAAATACATTGGTATGTACTATTTAAACAACTTGTTTTTCTATTCTAATTGTATAGTTATAGATATTGGCAAAAAAGACTATAAATAATGCTTACTAAATATTTGATTTAAAAATATAAAGAAACGTACATGAACGTTTTTATAAATGCATTTGACGGAATAGCCTGTTAATCAATACATTACCGTAAAAAATCGCGTTTTTCAAATATTTGTGACTTAACACAGCCAGTTGAAATGATCTCTTATGTCGACAATTCGCAATAATTACGAATACGAATGCAACTCTTCACCTTGAACTATCATTCGCGGCTCGGCAGACAGAATGCTCTCTTCTCTAGTCAAAAAGTTCTCATGGTAATACCAGCGTTACTCCACAATGAAAGAGGATGGGAATGTGGCGAAGGAGGCGGGGAAAAGGCGTCGATAATAAAGGCCGCTTTTTGGTTCGATCGAAAACTTTTTTCATCTCGGCACCTCCGATCGCGCGCGCGAACCATCCCCATCCACGCGCGCTTTCTCCGCTCACGATCGCTCTCGAAACGAGGAACCCATTATTCGAGAGCTTTGGCGGACGTAAGTGTTGACAGATAAGTGAAAGAGGCGCCGGCGCCGCGGCCGCTGGTAAACGGAATCAATGGTGAAAGGAAAACGCCGAACTCCCGCGGCGTTTTAATCAATCTCCTTCTCGCCCGCCCTTCCTCACTCTCTTTCTTTCTCCTCGCGCTCTCTTACCGTCCTTCTCCACCGGTCTTTCTATCTATTGCCTCTCGCGTCTTTCGGAGGCACCTTTTCATAGCCCGATGCCTCGCTTCCGTTTCCTTTTCTGTTCGTAGGTGAACCCCTCCTCGCCCCCCCGCCCGTCTCTCACTCATCCACCCTTTCGTATCTGCTCTGCAGACAGGGTGGACGTGGGAGGGAAGGGCTCGGTATCTCTCTGAGAGCACCGAGCCACCGTAGTTTGTATAGTTTCATTGAACTTGATGCGGCGGGACAGGGAGCAGAACAGACGGCTGAGAAGGGTGCGCGAGGGGGTGGGGAAGGACGCTGGGATCAGTCTCGTTGCGAGGGTGGCGCGGGCATTCTGTATAGGCTACGGTTAATCAGCTTCGAGCAGTGACGAAGGTTCTTGGAGAGTCGCACGCCGGAGCGGGAGACTGCGTTTTGCTTATTTATGCCAGCCGTTTAATTCGAGGGTCGACGTGAAGGAAATTTTGTGACTGTCGGGAGATAAATTTCAATTCTATCTCGTTCCATTGCTTTCGCCGCTTTTAAGCTACGGTCGCTTATTTATGTACTTGTGCAGCCACGTACATACGTATTTGATATTTGTATGCGCATATCATGTGTAAATATGTATATAATATTTGAAATTTTACAATTGAGAAAAATAGAATTTTTTGGCATCCGAACTCAATCAACAATCGAATCGTCATATTTCAAATTTTTGCAATCTCGCAGTTTGATATTTTGATCATTTTTTGCGAAAAAATAAATTGTTGGGCATTTTAAAGTACGGATCTCTTCATAAATTCCACTCTCTAGGCGTATGGTAAAACATTTTCGTTCACAGTGACTGAACTTTCCTAAGCTATAATATGAAAAGTATTTTTTTCCCTGCCGAAATAACGATAACGATTTAATAAATGATTAAAGCATTGTTTTTAAAGCAAGATAAAGCACTACATAATTTCAGATTTCGAGGCTGCCTAATTTATGTATAAAATCGCCACAAAGGCACGCTTGCTCGCGCGATTCGCGCATCAGTTAATCAATCAGTCAAGTCAGTGAGTTAGTCATGCGCGATTGGTGCGAGAGTTACGGTGGAGCGGGGGTGTCTACAATCAAATATTCAACAGACGCTGAGCTGCAAAGTGCCAGAAACTCGTCCCGGGCCCTCTGCCATCCCGACAGTGGCTTCCTCCCTCGGGACACCGCCCGGGAGAGCCGAAAATCCGACAAGCCCTACCGTCGGTTCAACGTGCGACGTCCGTCGGGAAACAAATCTGGGAACTTGCCTCCGCGAAGCCTGCCCATTTTCTCTTCGATTCGCTCTCCTCTCGTAGCGTTAGTATTTGGTTTCCGATCTGCGCTCTCGATATTAAAACGTAATCGTGAAAAGGAACGGCCGTGCGTGGGTTCAGGACAATTTATGCTTTAAGAATTCGATTACCGGGATTAAGAATGTTAGCTCGCGCGAAAAATATTTCGAATATCCATAGATCGATGCTTCAGTAAGGAATATTTGTTACTGTTATTTTTTATCTTATATTATTCTTTTACATCTTAAAGATAGATTTTTCTCATTAATTCTCGCAACAAAATACTTTTTATCGCATACAATGTTGCGTATTTCAATGAGTTTATTGCGATATCTAAGACAAAATCAATACTCTCATTTTCTAATAATTTCACATCATCAGGTAAACAGTCGCTGTTTCTTAATTACTTTCTTCGAAATAATTAATGCCTCTACACATTCAGCCGTTAATCAACGTTAATACCATGTTATCCGAGAATTTTCCGCGCCTCTTCGAGAAGAAGAGAGCGTTTTTAATTAAATGCTGCATAAGAAGTCTCAAGGTGCACAGTGGATTTTAGTGACGCCTCGAAACGACGAACCGCGTAAAGTTTGCGGTGAGCATTTTAATTAATTTTTGCGAACTTCGATGACCCGCTTTTCGAGCTTAGCCGACGCCAGAAATTGCCGTCTAAGGGCTCGACGTGGCCCAGAAACGTAAAATGGGCATACATTACGTGTAATTTATTACGAACGTTCGCGCTGAGGCGAGGATGGTCCGTGCGAGAATGAGAGGGATAAACAAGGGATGGTTAAGCGAAAGGGAGAGTTATCGCCGAGGTCGTACAGATTAGCGTTGATGGACAGAGACAATCGCCGCTATAAATCCCGGAGAACTGTGGGGGGGGGGGGGAGGCTCGTCGCGCAAATGTCGGGCAAATTCGAAGACGCGAGTCACTAATTTCGGTTTTTAACAGTCTTAATTAAAAGCGAGTCTAAACGGCTTTAATTAAGCAGCCCTAAAGGATTCGCCATTTTTCTGGCTCGCCGCCGCCGCGAAACCGATGCCGCGTAATTTGCGCTTTCTATGTGGGCGCTTAATTAATTTTTTGCCGACTGGCGAGATATATCAAAAGGGCGGGCATACGTGAGAATATCCTTTCGGGGAGCGTACGTGCGATATGCTTAAACGGGGAAAAAAGCGGAACCGAGGTTACGCGAGCAAGCGTCGGATCGCACGGGTTAATCCGTCTTATTAATGAGCAAATTTTGCGAGCGGGAGGATCGATATGAAATGTGGCGGCCCAGTTGTATTTGAACTTGAGGTAAAGATATATAATTAAAATATTATATATTGGCGTTCCAATTATTATTTTAAAGAGGAAGCTGAAAAAGCTTTCTCATTACGGAACGAAAAAAATATAACATTCAACATAGTTACAATATTTAATTGCAGAGAGAGCTCCAATTAATTAGATATTAGTTATATTTAATTACGGAGAAAATTCTAATATTCGGACGCACTAAATTTTCACAGGATCAAAATATCGTACTGCATTATCGCTGTATATTATCGCCCTACATTATCCCTCTATATTATCACTGTACACATATGGACAATCACGGTGCTAATGTTTATCGATCCCGTACATATATGCAGATTAATTCAGATATCTTGGTGTAACAGTGAAAAGGTTAATTGGTATAATTGTCAGTAAGTTGGGATAAATTTCGAAAGATTTTTCAGACAAATCGTCTTATGAGGATTAAATGCTTAAAAAACTCAAAATCTTCATCTAAGAAATGATTTAATCGCATGAAAGTGAAGGAGCAGAGAACTCTACAGGTTTCCACGACATCGCTTTTGTCTACGCATTATGTGCGTATTAGGTATGCTCGGTTGGAAAGGAATGGGGCGAGGAGGGCGGAGGGGGGGGGAGGAGGGGGTAAAGCTGAAGAGAGAATTATCGCTTAGGTCGTAGAGATTAGCCCGCACAGTCTCGATGGGCAGAGAGACGGACTTTGCTTTAAATCTTACATGAGGGACGTAATGTCAGGGAAATTCAGAGATGTGATCCATTAGCAACAACGGCAGCAAGGCGAAGGAGTGGCGGGAGGGAGGGACGCGTGTTCTCCCACGAGAAATAACCGTAATCGCTTTTCTCCCTCCGCATTCTCTTCCGTCCTTCTCCCGAAACGGGCGAAGGGCGGCGGGGAGGGGGAGCGCCACGTGTATTTGTGCGCGTTATCCTTCTTCCATCTTCGAGAGCGCGTCTTCGTTGTATTTATAAATGCGGCGTTGCAAAAACGCGTGTCACATATTTTGCGTGCAATGTCGTATCCAAAAAACAGCTTTCGCTCTGTGTGGCATTGCACGGTACACAAGAGATGCAACATCAAAGGAGATTCATTATACTTTTCGTATCTAACAATAAGATTTTTTTAAATTAATAAAACTTTGGCTTATCGAACAAGTGGAGATTTGCCGATTTTCACGAGTAATGTGGAGAGTTCGACTAAACTTTTCTGTCCTTTTTCCATTAAACGTAGTGTTTTTATTTATTCTCGGTCGAAAATAGAGACGCTAGTTTTTGCGCTAAACGCCATCGCTCGTGCAACAATAAAACGCACCTGTTTTCGACGTGTATTGAGAGAGAACTGTCGCTCTCGAGACACTTTTACGTCTCCTCCTCGCGGGCTTTCATTCTTCGCGAGTACCAAAAGCCGCGTTCCAAAATAACGAACGGGGAAAAGAGAGGACGGCGGCTAAGAGCCACGAGGCGAAAGAAAACTGAAGAGTAAAGCCTGAGGGGTTCGCGGGGATGAAAACAGCGCGGCGAAGGAGGAGAGTGAGAGTGAGAGAGAGAGAGAGAAAGAGAGAGAGAGGGAGACGTTCCGCTTTATGAACGATCGGAATTTAAATTGCTTTTCTTCCTCCCGCTGAGGGAAAGCGGCGAGGAGGAGAGGCGAAGTTTTCGTTCCTCCTTATAAATC